CAGCTTGTTTTCTCATTCCCAGGAGACCCTGAAGATGGGCCTCCGCCCACACGCGGGATCCTGAGCTCCCCGGACCAGGGTAGGAGGCTGCAGGGGCCAGGGTGGGCTCTGACCCGGGTAGGGGGGCCTCCAGACAACTCAGGGAGAAGCACCTGGCTGCTGGTACCCCTCTGAGGCCCCGCGCTCACCTGGTGGCCTCAGGAGGGAAGTGTGGGGACGCTGCTCCCTGGGTCTCTCAGGGCCCGCTGCACAGGGCTGCCGTGAGCCCACGTGTCTACACTGCACTCTGCAGTCTCCTCTACTGTGACTCTTCTGAAACCTGTAAAACAACACTCACATATATAATTTTACACTTTTAAGTCCTTATTCAAATTTATTACTTAAACACAAGAAATTTACTACTGTTTTATAGCGACTTGTTTAAATTTACGCATTTCTTTTAGAGAATAATTTCAAAATTCAGAATTATTCATGAACTTCAGAGTCGTTTTAAATTTTTATTCATAAAAATTCTGAGCATTATTTCTAATTTGAAGCATTGTAGTGTGGCCAGCAGGGGGCAGGGTGGTTACAGCGATGAGCTGCCACGTGGCTGCCCCTGGCTTGAGTCCTCTACCTGCCGGCTTGAAAAACCACCTGGCACATAGGTGTGTGTGCCCCAAATTCTAGAAGGGGAATGGAGGAGCATGGATTGGTGTGTGGCCATCCGCCCAGGGGGGTAATTTCGCGCTATCCCTGTCTCCAACCCAGCACTCAAATCCATGTGAGCACATGTGCCCTATGTCAGAGAAAAAATTACTCGACTACTTCGACATGTACCAGCGAGGCGTTTCGTTGCTTCATAGTTTCTCAATAAGAGAGAGACGTCGCTGGCGTGTGCCCGTTCTCCTCGCACCAGTTCACACAGGAATCTCCCCTTGCGTTTACTTCGCAATTGCCCTCTGATTTGCCGAGAAAATATACCAGCCTGGAGAAAATTTAAGTGCTTTATTTAGACGTTGTATGCCACTATTTGTTCCCTCAATTTTAATATATGTGAGGTAACATGTAAGCCCGTGAAGTTACACGTAAATGCATACACAGCTGTCTCTACGGTGGTGCGTTACATACGAGCGTACGTTCGTATGTACATCCATCTACGTGTTTATGACGATGAGTATCCATATGCTTAGTATTTTTATCTGATCTGTTTTTACTTACTTGTTATTGACCCTCCCACCTACATTCCCATGTCAAAAAAGCAGAAACACGGTTTTTACGTCCCATTGTTTTACCACCATTTGGAAAAATATTTGGGAGCTGGCCCTGTGGCCGAGTGACTAAGGGAACTGGATCCAACATGGCTGACCAGGCAGCTGGAGTCCTGGCCCTATATTCTGAAAACATGCTGGGGGTTCCCGTGTGTGTGTCCAAACTCCTGACAGTGCAGCGATGGAAAAGAGACTGCAGCGTGAGCACACCCAGTGGGGAGTGCTGGCTCCCTCTCCTCTCTCTGTCTCTCAGTCTCTCTCTGGCAAGGGCACATACCCTTTGACAATAAACAAATATATATTGGGTCATTGGAAAAGTCATGACACATTTTTAGGGACCAGCAGATGGCATAATGGTTACGTCACTGGACTCACACATAGTCAACAGCGGTTTGAGTCCCAAACTCAGTGGTTTAAAACTCACACCAGGCACGTGTGTGT